AATAAGAACCTTATTTTAGCAAAAAAGGCTATAAAAACGCAATCTTTCGGTTTTCCGTAATTCTTTTAGATGTTGCTCTCTAAAGTTGTCTCTTTCACATTTATCCCTATGTAGCCATGTCACAAAATCCGAGGCTTCGCCCCGAATATCCTCTGTTCTTCCTGGTGAAGGTTCTGTTCTATTATGGCGCTCAAAGTGAAGGTTACCAGAGTACGTGGTTCTATGTATCGAAGGTATGAAGTGACTTTCAGGGCATGTGGGGGACGGCTGCTCTGTTCTTCTCCATTGTAACTTCGGTTTACACTGCCAGATGGATTGTTACGGCCCGTGTAGGAAACGTCGTTGGAAGAAATGCTTTGATTGCTTGAGTATCTTGTGATTAGGTTGGTGACCGCGTGGAACTTGATCTTGCACCTGGTGTTGTAACATGGAAAAGACACAGAAGTGGTCACCCGGATGAATACATTAAATACTGTGACCCAGTTGATAAGAGAGCTATATGCGATCAATTTGTCACAGCGGTAAGACCTTTTAGTTGCTTAACCATAACAACATCGTCTGTTGAATTTATAAGCACTTCCTATACACCTCATATTGCTCATTCAGAACAACAGAGTGAGATTTCCTATAACCAATGGACGTGTACTCAGTAGCGGCGTACTTGTTATCTATTCGTACAAGCCAAGTGATGCTGGTTTTTACTCATCTCCTGATCACGAGATGGAAGAGACAATACATCCAGATGGCGTGGCCACTCGTCTTGCTGGTCCACAGATTGAACTTAAGACTATCGGAGAAGAAAAGTTGGTGATCATCCGTCCGGAATAACAGTATGTAGCAAACAAATACATGTATTAGACACTTTGTCACGGATTCCGTGCAAATGTCCGAAAAAAAGTGATATTGATGTCCTCTATATAAGACCTTGCGGCTACGCTCAATTGTCAATGATGTTGTGATGAAATCTGAGATTCAGCCCAACTTCTGTATTCCCCTATCAGTCCACAAATCCAAAATCTTGATGAAAAGTCAGTAAAAAAATTTCCATGATTCAGTCGATATATTACATACGCTCTTTGTTTTGACCTTAGGTTCCTTGCTGTACTTCCAATACATGGCTGAAAGTGTAGTCGATAAAATCATTGATTGAAAAAATTTTTCACAAACTTTGCAGGAAAAGATAAACTACTACGGTGATTCAAAAGTAATGAGGCACGTGAAGAGTAAATGCAGTTTTCTCAAGTGAAAAACTGATTTGAATGTCCTTATCTATTTTGGCAGATGGTAATACATGTCAGATTGACGGGAAAACATAAGGATCAGAATAACATGCGAAGGTCATATTCTTCAAAACTGTTCAAATTGATGG